ACCACGTGAATTGTTGTTATATGTTCATCATAAAAGGATATCTCAATGTAATTTAGTTGTAACATATATATCAATAGTCCTTAGCACTGGAGTTCATATAGAATGTCTCATTCTGTTGCGAACTATTAAGGTGTTAATTTATGAACAGATTCTTAACGATATTATGTAAAACACTTTGGAATCTAGATAATTAGGAATTTATTTAATATTGATGTTGTTTATCTCCGTATTATTAATATTCTATATCCGTACACAAGAGATGAAAAAATGGCGATGGTAGGCTTCTGTAGCATGCTAAATTTGAGGCTTCATATCATGAACTAATTTCAGTTAAACACTACTAAAAATCAGATGGAACGAGGGAATTTTCATTTTATTAGGTGACTCCACACTAGTGTCTATCCACTCTCCTACAAAGAATCGAGCTGATGACCTTTAGTTTTCATAGTGATAACTTAGTCTTCACAACATTAAGTGACAGTTCAATAATTTACATTTATAACTTCAGTCAACTTGTAATATTGTTCGGCAATCATTCAATTTCATTTGTGATATTTGGTTCATACTTGACATAACTAAACTCCATCACTTATGGATTCGAACTTGAGCTCATGGAAATACATTTCGAAATTAGTCACTAACAAGCATATAATGATTGTCAAGTTAGTTATGACTATAAATATTGTTTATGTAAAACTCAAAGCTAATGACATATACATTATTATTATTATCAGAAGGGGTTTTGTGGAGTTTTAGTATTTTCATAGTTGTAAGCGTGAGTCAATTGAAGCTACACCATAATGGGAAACCTGAAAGCACTAGATGGCCGTTTCGTCCTATTATGGGACTCCTTAGCAGTGCGCATCCAATATCCCGCACCCGCGAGATTCAAACCCAGGACCTACTAGCTTCGCGTCGAAGCACTAAACCTCTAGACCACTGAGATGGCCGACATCCAACGGTGTTATTGTCTAACTTCAATTGATCTACGAAGTTGAGCAACCGTTCACCAATTGTTTCTCTTGAAATTTTATATTCGTTTCATAATTAAACTAATTCATAACAATTAATTTTATAAGATCGAATAATGACATAACAAACACAATCATTTAATCATTTTATTCATTACAGCTGATGTTACTATGGTAACATTTTCCACAGTAACTAATATAAACAAAAAATATATATGTACAATAGAACTACATGAAAAAGAATTTTCTCCCACCTAATATAACGTGAATAACATGTTGTATATGAAAGAAACAATGATAACAATTACATTGTTATCAATGGGAATCATTAAAGTTTTTATGAAGTGTGTTGGTATACAGGCTACTTGTTAACTATAAGTAGTTTGTGTCCTTCTTATGTTTGTTGGTTTGTTTGTTTTTTAAAGAACAGTCATAAACAATTGAAATATAATGTACTGATCTAATGTATTTCTATTCCTTTATTAAATAGATAGTATTTTATTCTCAATAAAAACAAATACAATGTCTCTTGAAGTGAATTCATGGGTTCTATTTTGATATATAGTTTAGTTGGTTGTAGAAACAATATGAGAGGGTTAATTAGTTATACTGAGTTGTTCTATTTTTTTTAAAAAAGAAATGGGACGAATCGGCTGTCCAGTGCTTTTAGGTTTTTCATAGTGGTCTAGATTTAATTAACTCATGATTTCAACTATGAAAATGGAAAAGTGATGAATGTTTTATGTCATTATTGAAAAAGGATCTGAATGTGAATATCCACATTGGAATTCAATTATATATTTTTTTGGTTGAAGAGATTCTGAAAATAGATTTCATTGTTAATCAGAATTCATTAGTTCTACACAAATAAACGTATTCATGTTTAGAAAGATTGATTTTAACATTTAGAATGACTTCGGTTGATGACTAATAACAAAACTGAGAGTAATGATGAAAATGTTCGTTCGATCATGGAGTCCATTTATAAGCAATGACTACACAAGAGATGGTTAGGAATAGAGTCCAGTACTCTCAAATTATGTGTATGTTATGCAAACGTTTTCTCAATCTCTTTAATTCTAAGTAGCCGTATTAATTTTTGATAGGTGAATTTATGAGTTCATCTAAGCTATTATGTTGTTTTAAAACTTTATCGATAGTTAAAATTAAATTCATATTTTCTCTTCGTAAGTAAATAATACTCATGAGTGAATCTAATTTCGAGTTCTAATGAGAAGTCGTAACGAGTGCAGTACAGTACATATTGGGTAGAGATAAATATCTATGTCAGACAATGGATGAATAATTGCACAGCCATTTATTGATCGATAGAAATTGGACATTAACGCTTTTGGATTACGACTCAGTGATCTAGATGTTAAGCGTTTAGCCGTAAAACTAAAGATCCTTGATTCAAGTCCAGCGTGCGGGATCGTTGATGCGCACTACTGAGGAGTCCCATACTAGGACAAAACTGAAGTCTAGTGCTTCCAGGTTTTTCATGGTGGACTAGCTTTAACCAACTTATGAATTCAACCACTAAAATTACTACAATTTCCACAGAAGCCATATTCTGATTACAAATATTATTCACTTAGTTTAAGTAGTTGATAACATTTGGAAACTTGTTTGATCCTAGTCAACGATAAATCAGTGTGATATATTGATATTTCTTGTATAGCGAATACATCAAGCATCAATCTCATAACTACTTTCTCCATGTCATATGTTATTTGACTTTTGAACTCGAAGAACCCCCTAATTTTAAACATTTTCTCAGGATGCAGATAAAGTGTTCAGCAAATAAAAGTGTTGTTTGGTTTTAAATATCTTGAAGCGGATTTGTTGATATTATAGTAATTTAATAGTTGTATTCATGAGTCAATTTAAATTAGACCACCATGGAAAACCTGACAGCATTTAACTCAGTAATTAAGATGTTAAGTGTTCGCACCCAAGACTGAACATCCTGAATTCGAATCCCGCATGCCGGATTGTGGATGCACACTGCTGAGTAACTCATGAATTCAACTTTTAAATATTTAAGTTCAGTGCAATTCTTCACTTTTAATGAATTTCCAATGCCCAATATTTCAAAAAATAAAATGAGTATCAACAGAATATCTTAATATTCATTTCTCTACTATGAATAAAGATAAATCCTATTTCAAAAAACCCTGAATATATACACATGGATATGCATATTATGCCTAGCTACTATTTTCGACATTCATTTTCGTATCCATTCCATTTTCTTTGTAAGTTTCTATCCCTTCTTTAGTCTCTATTCAAATTATATTCCTTGATCACTCCACCCCATTGCTCATAGATTTAACAGAGTGAAATACAAAAAAATAGCCATACAGTAAATGATAAAGCGGTTTAAAGAAAAAAATCAAAAACTTTTTAAAGGATTTCTAAGGACATTCTAAATGTATTATTCTCTGATCTTATTTCAATCATCTATTGAATAAAATATCAAAGATCCTTACAAAATTCAAAAAAAAAACACAACACATAAAGCCTTAACTAATCTAATATCTTTACCATATAACAACAAACAGTACAAACTGTGAAAAATTCACTTAGTATTGTTTGTTTAAATCTTTCCATTGATTTTTTTAGTACTGCAACTGATCAGTCTCTTATTGGCATTTATGCATACTGTGTGTATTCTCTCGATATAATTTTAATACATAAGCATTATAAGTAAACATGGATAGTGGCTATTAGTGGAATCCAGGAAACAAGTTTTAGTCCTATTTGGGACTCGTCAGTTGGATGTACCTGTATCTCAGAGTTCATGTTCACTCTGGGACTCGAACCCAGTACCGTTCATTTCAAACGTCATCGCGTTATCCACCCAACTATTAGCCACTTACTTGTGCAATGAGATGAAGTTCAAATTCATTTAGTATTCTTTTGTTTGAATTTTCCCATTGATGTTTTAGGACTGAAACTGGTTAGTCTCTAATTGACAAATATACATACTGTGTGTATTGCCTCGATATATATGCAAACTGTGCATAGATACTTAAAAAACAAAAAGACAAAAATAATCAAATTTCTTTTATTATTCTTATTATTATTATCATCATCATCAAAATACTAATCTTAACTTTTGACATTCCTAATATGAGTATTACTTTGAATTTATGTAAATGTTAATACAAGTTTATGAATCACTGACCAGTTGCAGACCTAAACACATCGATGGGAAGATCCAAACAAACAATACCAAGTGAATTCAAACTTCACCCCATCGCACAAGCAAGTGGCTATCAGGACTCAGTGGCCAAGTGGATAACGCGATGGCGTTTGAAGCGAGGGTACTGGGTTCGAGTCCCAGAGTGAACATCAACTCTGAGATGCAGGCACATCCAGCTGACGAGTCCCAAATAGGATGAAACGCGCTTCCTGGATTCCACTGCTAGCCACTATCCATCTCTGCTTACCATGTTTATGAATCACTCTTTCTCTCTCTCTGAGTGTGTGTGTGTATAATCGAAATATTGAACATCAGCAAAATTTAAAAATCATTGATCTTTCGCAACAAAAAACAAAAAAACAAAAAAAATTAAAAAAAATCGAATCACTTATTGATTTTATGTAACTTAATTGGATACTATGAATAATATCAATGTAAATAATCATTTATCTGTATAGATAATTAAAATATGCTTATTTCCAACCGAATAGTTTTAAAAGAAAAACATGTTTGTTTGTTTGTTTGTTTTTGAAAATATAGATCTATTCAAATTTGGAGCCAATTTTGTAAGGGTTCATTGAAATATTGATTATTGAAATTTCGGAATAATATTGATTTGAAGTGTAATTGATTACCAATGAATAGGATCATAAGAAGAATGTTTGTTTATCTTTTATAATGTAATTAATAATAATAATAATAGTAATAATAATGGTAGTATACCTGAAAACCATATGAATTACTTAAAAGAACATGTTACTTTTGTTTAAATCCAAAGTAATTTGTATAATATAATACAAACTATATATGTATATATATAATTAGCTTTCTGATGTATTTCCTTCATTTGTATTAGGTTCTTCAGGTTGCTGAAATGATAATGATGAAAGTAAAAAAAAAGTAGTATATTTAAATAAAGTTAAGTTTTATAATTTTGAAAAAAAACTACAAATGTTAGTAAACGAACGTATATTATGCAGAGATGGATGGCGGCTAGCAGTGGAATTCAAGTCGTATAAAGTTAGATGGATAATATGAAAGCGTTTTAGCCAAATAGTCTAGAGGTGGATATCAACTGTGAGATGTAGTTGAATCCGGCTGATGAGTATTCAATAAGATGAAATGCATGTTCCCACGTTACACTGCTAGTAATCATCCATCTTTGCTTTGGATGTTTATGATTTAAGACAATATCGGGGCACAGGGTTCAGTTATGCTAATCAGAGACTAATCAATTATGGGGTTAACTATTAGGTGGAAGATTCGGACAACCAATAAAAATGAATTAAACTGTTTTAATGTTTAACAATATCAAACGGTAACTGAAATTTTAAAAAAAATTGATTAAGCAGTTGTAAGCTGTTGAAATCAGTCAATAATAAGTATTTTAATAGTTGAATTCATCAGTCAAATAAAGCTAGACCACCATGGAAAACCTGGAAGCAATGGACGGCTATTTTGTCCTAGTATGTGACTCCACAACAATGTGAATTCCACGATCTGGTTATCAGGCTTCCAGTGCTTATAGGTTTTCGATGGTTGTCTAACTTTTTAATCGACTAATGAATTCAACCGATAAATTACTTTAATCTCCACAAAAGAACCTTCTTTCTGACATTAATAAGTATGTTTACATGCAAAGAAATCATCTGAGTTTTTTTGATCAGTTTGAAATTACATTTTCAGTCATAATGAATAAACACTTACGTATTGTATTTAAACGATAATAATTGAAAGAAAATTTCTCTAAAATCGACTCAGATTTGTTATCCAAAAACAAAAATTAGTTGAATAGTTGCTTCAAAACCACAGAATAGTATACTGATGGTGGTGAAGATTTGTAGCTCAGGTGAGTGATTTTGATGGAGTTTTGTTCTCTGAACTGGATGATTTGGTCATGAAGCTCTCATCGTTCTTCTGAACGACATCATTACCACAAACTTTGCGTTCAACCAAAACCACCCAGCTCAAAGAACAAAACTTCATCAAAATAATAGACTGGTATTTTTCTATAGTTTATATACTAATCCAACTAGACAAAATATTAAATACAAATTTAATTTATACATATGTGAGTAGTTTAAATAGTTGAGTTCATGAATCAATTGAAGCTAGACCGTCATGAAAAACCTGGAAGCAACGGATGGCCTTTTTCGTTCTAATGTGGGACTCCTCAGAAGTGCACATCTAAGATCCTGCGTCGCGAGACTCGAACTCAGAACCTATCGATCTCGCGCGCGAACGCATAGCGTCGCGGATTAGTTGAAGTTAGACATTAACACCGTTGGATGCCGGCCAGCTCAGTGGTCTAGAGGTTATAAGTTCGCACGCCTGACTGATAGCTTCTGAATTTTAATCTCGCGAGGCAGGATCGTGGATGTACACTTCTGAGGAGTCCCACAATAAGACGAAACGACCATCCACTGTTTCCAGGTTTTCCCCTAGTGGTCTACTTCAATTGACTCATGATCTCAACTATTAAAATTACTACAATATCCTCAAAAAACCCCTTCTGATATATGAAAGTGTTTAGGTAGGAAGATGTGTGAACATATATATTTTTACCTATGTAATTGGGAACCAGACGTTATATATGTATATATGTATATGTTTAACTCAATATCTAATTGTTTTATATTCGAGCACAACATCTATACATTCAACCATAGCAACAATCATAGCAAAGTGATCATTCAACAACATTAAAGTGTACAATATCAATTGATTAATCAATGTACTAACTAACTAACTAACTAGGGAACTAATATTTGTGTTTTGAATATCTACTAACATATACATATATACTTACTTGTAACTACCAATGTATCATATTGTTCAGTAATATGTATAGTTCTGCTAAATATAATAGTTTTAGTTCAATTATAAAAGGAAATTTATCATCATATATGATGAAATTAATTTTTAAAGATGAATTAGGATAGTTCTGTAATGATGTAATTTTAAATTGTACAACTCTATTTTTCATTGTATATTGAACAATGTTGAACATTGAATGAATGAATGAATGAATGAACGGATATTATAGATAATGGAACAACTAGAAAGACTCAAAGTTCAGTGAAGGAGATCTCTTTTCAACGAATATATGATCAAACTGTACAATCACATATATATATACACGAAAAAATGTTTTTTTAATTGGTAAAGTACTAATTCCGTAATGAAATGTGAACAAAGAATAACCAAGATGACGTAATAGAGAGATTGTAATACTAGATTACGTAATATGAGTAATAACAATCGGTTTAGTGAATATAATAAGATGAATAAAAAAGAATAATCAGAATTCTTTTAGTTACAATAATTAAAGGTCATTAAAAGGTCATAGGGGTGTAAAAATAAATCAGGTGAAATGATGAGTATTTATGAATAAAGTAATGAGACATAAATAAAGAGAAAGCAGTAATAATAATAATAATAATATTAATTAAGGCCATGGTAACAATAACGACAGGATGTACATCTTTAGTATACATAATTCTGATTTGAACTCGTAGATGATAGGAGTTTCGACTGTTTTTTTTTCTTTCTAAGAGTTGGATACAAAGAAATCTAGGTAGATTTGAACGAATCATATATAAACAACCTTAAAACATCAAACTATTGGATCTATTGAGACATAAGTATAGGGAACGCAGTAATAATAATATTAATAAAAGAATATTAATTAAGGTCAAGATAACGATGACGACAAGATGTACTTCATTAGTATGCATAATTCTGATTTGAACTCATAGATAATAGGAGTTCCGATTAATTTTTCTTTTCTAAGAGTTAGATACAAAGAAATTTTGGGAGTAGATTTGAACAACCTTAAAAAAAATCAAACTATTGGATCCATTGAACCTTTTTAATGCTTAACAAATGTTTATTTGATAATTACAGAAATTGTCAATATTGTTTAAATACAATGGTTGACATGGTTTACAAAATTTGATTAAATTTTTATGATTTATTAAAATATTCAACTAAATTGATCAATGTTTCATTTTTTTGTTTTGTTTTAATGAACCACAAAAAAAAGAAAAAAAAAGAAGAAAGAAAAAGAAAAGATGGACAATTGGTTATATAAGAACTTTCGTCTAAATTAGAGTGAATAATTTCACAGTATTTGTGCGCCAAGTCGAAGTTAAGACATGAAATAGGAAGAAGAATATGTATTTATAAAATCTCAGTGAATGAATTTGAAGTAAATCCAACGTTTTGTCTGTATATCTGGTCCTTGGAACATATTATTCTATTCTGAGCCATATCTGATAACGTCTCTAGCCACTGTGTTGCACCATCTCTCGGACCCCAGCCAGGAAGTCGTCAAGGACCAACAGAAGCTAGACCTTTGCAGCTTTCTTTCATACCACGACACCATGTCATACACTGACCACCTGTCTGCTTTTTCCAACCAGTCCCAGAGTCGGCAAATAATGCACGATGTGGAAGTTTCTGGGACGACATTCGCAAAACATGTCCAAGTCAACGAAGTCGGTGTTTCAAGATGGTGACACCAATTGAATTATCGTCTCTGCGCCCAAACACACGATGCCGAACTTCTGCATTACTAACATGGTGTTGCCATTGAATGTCAGCAATCCTTCGGAGACAACGATGATGGAACATAGAGAGACGTCTAACATCCTCAACTCGGAGAGGCCAGGTTTCACAAGCATAGAGCAAAACTGCTCACACCGACGCGTTGTAGATCCGACCTTTTACAGCCAGACTAACATCACGAAGGAGCCAGTGATGGCCGAGATTGGCATAAGCCGCTCTGACTTTCATTATACGTGCATCAATCTCATCACTCACGCCACCACCAGCACTTATGTAGCTACCTATATACACGAACTTCTCAACTGCTTCAATCTGCTCACCATCCAGGGTGAGTACAGGATAAGAATCGTGCCAGTCTTGTAGGAGTACTTTGCACTTGGAGGGTGCAAAGCACATGCTGTACCTGCGGACACTGATTGCCAACTGACTAAGTGCTGATTGCATGCCATGGGCATTATCGCACAGTGAGACAATATCATCCGCATACTCAAGATAGAGAAGTCGTTCTCCAGGCAACATATCCACACCGCCATTACCTACATCCATCAGAGCTGTTTCCAGGATGTCATCTATGGCAAAATTGAAGAGGAATAGTGAGATCGGGCAACCCTGCCTAACTCCACTGCTTGAATGGAACAAGGAAGAAAGGTCGTTGTATGCCCTCACTCTGCCTGAGGTATTCGTATACAGGGCCTTTAAGATGTTAATGAACTTCCCAGGCACACCCTTCTTCAATAGACAATCCCAGAGAACAGTCCTGTCCAACGAATCGAAGGCAGCCCTGATATCAAGAAACACTACTCAAATAAATGAAATATTGTACATTACATAATGGAGGTGAGATTTATGGCAGATGAAGTATAATTAAACTGTAATGAATGTTTTCTTTAATCTATATTTGGATCTTATGATCTTAAATCAATATTATCAAAAGATTCTAATTTACAAATGAAACACTTTTCTTATTTTCTCTGACCTTACAAGTTGGATATTTTTATGACATCTGTTAAAGTAATGTTGGTTAATGTAGACATAGGTTAAAGGAAAATTTAAGACAAACAAATCAAGAAGTGACATTAGTTTATGAAGTTATTTATAGTTTGAACTTGTGCTACTTAGTTAAATCAATGAGATAACCATGATCACTGGTTAGAAACTTTAAGTAATATCATTTAAGAATCATTCATATTAGTGTAGATACATTAACTATTTATCTGTTTTTAAATAATAAGTTTCAAAATTTGTTCATATTATCAATATTAAACCATTATCATCGTTACTGCCACTGTTCTTTGTGCTACTGACGTCAACAAATATAAGTAGTATGTATTAACAATCAAAAGTGAAATGTTGGGATGCAGAAAGTTAAGAAGATCGAGGAGAAGAGAGTGAGAACAAAGAATGATTAGTGTGAAAATGAAAGAATAATTAAGTCTTGAACGATATGATTGACAATTTGTAAATGAAGTGTTTACTGTATAATTTTCAGATTTTACTAAAACGTTCTCAAAAATCGTTAATATCAAGGGTAGGTTTTTATTAATTATCCAAACAATGTCTATTCATGTAATAAACTATAAAGTAATTTTGATGAAAGATAACAGGTCACTATAGAAAACGTTCTCAACTGATCACAACCCATCATTTATATACTATGTTCTGTATGTGAGAGGGACTAATAGTTAGGTCCAATTTAAATTTCTTTACAGCACTTAATGACTTATTTACTGAAATACTAGATTACAAAAGGTGTTATATCAAAGGCCGCCCGCTTAAACATCTATGCTACTGTTAAGTTGGCTTACAGTAAACTCTATCACAGCCTCCAGAGGCTCATAAAGAGCCCCAACCAATCAGCGATTAGTCAGAAGCTATGTTACTAAAATAACGAGGTCCTGATTGTCTGTTTAACATACTGCTACTATGGAAACTCAAGGTCTTTTAACTACTATAAAAAACCATGTTTTTCTGTACATAAATGAACCTTGTAGTAAAGTACTTCTCTCATACTCCTTTCTTCTCTCTGGTCTTTAAGTCTCTGAATAGTTCTAGCCTGGGGTTATCAGAATAGCTTAGGATTCGAATAAAGCGTTCAACTCTACAAAATATTACAGCTACCTGTTCCTGATATCTAAATATTTCAACAAGTTATCTAATTTTGTTTGTTTTATTACATTATTATGTCTATTAATCGCATAACCTATTCAGGTGAGTTCCCAAAATGTGTACAACCTTTCGTTGTGAAAGTTACAAAAGGCCCCAATCAGAGATATAGTGGTTGCTGGCAATATGCAACGAATAAATGTACATTATTCAGATGTAGATTGACTGGACTGCTAATATCTAACTGGCAATCACTCAATAATAGTCGTCAGGATCGATCAAGAATTAAGAATCAGAAACGTGTTGAAATATATTGTGCTGTGAATACTATATTGTACCAGAAATATAATATTGAATTAAGCCAGTGATGATAATAATAATAAACTGAATAATAATAATAACATAACATGATCCAGCTGTGTTGAAATGAGCCGATCAAATCCAGCGAAAAATGACTCTTACGGCCATACATAATAAGCATTAATGAATGTCATTCAAAGTATGACTTTATGAATTATTAATTTATCTATTCATAAAATTTATTCACTCATGGTAACTAAGCAATTCAGACGAGTAAATTAGTAGCATTATCTCTTGTTTATAATCTTAAAGATTAGTGACAGCAACCACTAAACTTCCTGGTTTTGTAACAACTAAGTCTTAAAAATGAACATCAGTACTGAGGTGCTTTTGATCCAACTGACGAGTCACGAATAGCGCTAAAAGCAGACTTCTGGAAATCCACTGTTCATTTTTATCCAAAATCACGTAACTTTAAAATGTTTATCAGGATATTCGCCAAAATAACTTATAGACTAACACAGACTGATCAAAAGACAATCCCTGAATTTTATAAAAAAGCAATGATACAAAGCTTTACACTCAGATTTTCAACAATGACTCACTTTGAGGGGTAAATCCCGTAGTTGTAAGGAAAAGCTATGACCATTGCAGTTTATTCGTGTCAATTGTAAAAGACAAATATTACGAATTGTAAGCGATAGTGTTCACACAACATGACGAATCGACTGAAGCTAAAAATTTAAACCGCTGGGTATTGGGCTTAGTTTTTTAAATCTTGAACGCTCATCATTAGGCCAAACGCTTGTGCGTTTGATTCTTACTAGGGTCGTGGAAGGACACTTCTAAGGAGTCCCATGATAAAACAAAATAGTCATTCATTAGTCTCTGTATTTTAATATTTGTCGAACTGAATTCAGTCCGCATTGGAAACTGTAATTTATAATAAATATCACTTCATATACTATATCCTTCTATACAACCTTTCTTTTATATATTACCACCACTAAATTAACTACTTCTATGAATCCGGTGTTCATCTTGTTGTGATAACGAGGTATGGCAACTTGGACCGATTGCATATATGTGCCTGGTCCTACGTTGTAGCTGACTGACTTATTGACTCACTTATGAAACATTCCTTGCATTGACGTAGTTTAATATAACAAATATGGTACCTATCTAATAATCACAATAAATCGATAATATATGGTGTAAATTAATTTCTCTTGTATACTAAAATTCAAGTGCTCTAATTTAAAAGAAGAAAGCTTACTCCCACATCATTTGCCAAATCTACATCTGGTTTTTCTTCAGTAAACACTGAAACTTCTGGAATTTCTTGATTTTGTGGAATTTCTTCTTTAGATTCATCATGTTGTCCATTGTTTGATACAGGATCCAATTGTTCACTTGATAATTCTGTTTCTTTATGTTCTTCAACTTCAATTTCTGCATTATTGGAATGACTATCATTTGTCGATTGGGCTACTTCTATTGAACATTAAAAAGAAATAATGTCACAGATAAGTCAATTTAACTCTTATCTTAGTGCAATAATAAATTTCCAGAAGATATTGATTACATTTAGAATAAGTATTGAAAACGAACTTCAAAATGTTTATTTTTGTTGTTTTTGAATCTTATCTTTATAGTCGGATGCGTGTGAATCTTAAGCTTGATGTTGGTAGGACGTGCGGCTGCTGGGCGGACATCGGATGTAGATGGCTCAGCAGGCCGGTGGAGTACGGGTGCTGAACGTCCCAGGTGCCGGGTGGATGCAGACGTTGGTGCCCCGGTAGGTCGACGGAGCTATGGAGGTCGGCGCGCCGCAGACTCGACATTCTGATGGAGAGTTTGGCACAGACTGCAGTGATATGGCGAGCAGAACCACCGCATGAGCGAATGCTTTAAAGGGAGGACGAGTGTAGTGTGGTCTACTTATATACATATAAGTAGTATATGGTGTTGGTCAGACATAGAATGTATTTTGGTAGAAGACCGATGAGGAAAGAACTGAAATAAAGCGCAATCCGTAGGAAAATACATGAACAATGGAATTAGAGAAGAAACAGTGAAGATTGACACAACTGGTTGTTAATTTGCAAATTAACTATTCATTGTATGGTTATCAAAATTTACTGAGAGAGTCTGTCCTCAGTCGTCTTCTGCTCACAACTGTTGAACATTTTCAGTTGTTACCTGTACTCAGAAGCTCAATAGATTATCCACTGAAATTTGAAGTAAATTTAATTGGGTTCAAGCCTCCGTTTCAATATATCAATATAGATCTAAGCACATCTGATTGTCAACTTCTAAATAAGACACATAAACTGGTTCGGTATTGTTTTTCTATATAAGTAACGATTCTTTTCATATATAACTGTCATAATTAACACTTCATTTGAAGCATATAGATCAGCCTAATAGCTGGATACATCCTTACTATTAATCTCAAATGAATCTTTCTAGCTATTTAATCAGACTTAAATCCAAGTCTTAGGAAGACAGGTTACTTCTCAATCATAGCATATTCTATTACCTTCATTTTAGTCTTCTCATAGTTGATTATCAATTTTCAGGAGTAATCATTATCACGTCAATAGAGTTCAACTTTGATTAATCCCCCTTAATTTTCTGATATGGTTGAAAAACATTCAAACCAAGGTTCTTTAATAATTTATTGAATAAAAGTTATTGAAGTCTAATTAGAGTTCAGTTTATGAATTCATGTTCTGTTTCTATCTTCTTAGTTTTTATTCTAGAATATCCTCATAATTATCTCATAAATAACCACGTCATTTAGCATGCAAACCTGTTGATTTTCCATGAATCTTCACTGATTAGAATCTTTCGTCGTAATGATATAAAGGATGTAAGCTCATTTCTAATAAGTGATACTTTTACCAGATGAGGGTTTTCTGGATATTATAGTAATTTTATATAGTTGAGATCATGGGTCAATCGAACCTAGATCACCATGGAAAACCTGGAAGCATTGGACGACCGTTTTGTCCCATAGTGGGACTCTTCAGCAGTGTGCATTCACTATCCAGCCTCTCGAGATTCGAACCCAGGACTTATCAGTCTCGCGCGCGAGCAATTAACTTTTAGACCACTGAGACTGATGGGTTCTGGGTTGGAAACTCGCGAGGTAGGATAATGGATGTGCACTGCTGAGGAGTCCCACAATAGGACGAATCGGCCGTCCAGTGCTTCCAGGTTTCCCATAGTGGTCTAGCTTCAATTGATTCATGATATCAACCAGTAAAATTGATACTATTATGTTTAGGTTGCAAGCAGCTGATGAGAAACCGTAAAATATAATGGATTCATGTATTGAAAGTTAACGTTAATTGTACTTGCTTTACCTAGGTTATAGTTTTATGTTACGTGTTCGCTAGTCGGGCTAACCAGTTATGTAATGCCGTGCTTCAATAATAGTTCATTTCGATAACCATTATTATACCAATCTTAAAGGTGTATAAAATCAGAAAACAAAGAATAGCAGCAACTACAGTTTATTGTCGAATAACTCAGGTCAGAAAGTTAACAACACCTGAGCGAATAATAACGAGCGAGTGAACAGGCAAATAAGCGAAGCAAGCGAACGAGGTGGAAATGACATGCATGGGAGATGGCTGAGAAGCCAAGTCATTTTAACAATGTAGTTACTACTTATTTCTTTATAAGGCATATGTAACATTCTATTATGCTCATTCAATTCTTTAATAAATAAAAAAAACGGATCACTTTACTTTTACAATAATCAATGAATTATTCAGAAAACTATTAGATAGTTTTAAACTGATATTCTATAATCGAATATTTGAAGTCATTTAGATAGTTTCCTACTAAGGTGTAACCTTACAATCCCTTTAGCTAAAAAAATAGACCTCGAAGTTCACAAAACATTAATCAATCATGTAACCCAAATGTTTTCCTTCGAAAATTTTCATGAAAGTGATCATAATCAATGGACGAATTCTACCTGTAAATGATTTTTTTAAGTCAAGTAATAATCTATGCCGTTAATACAAATCTATATTGGAGTTGAATGAATAATTGTTAAATCAGATCAACATGTATGAAGAAAGGAGAGGAGAGGATTGTTGTTTTTATAAGAATCAAAGTGAATGGCAAAATTTTTTGTCATTTCATAGAGTTTTACGACCGAATATGCTAAATACAAATTGTTACCTTTAAAAGTCTCTCGCGAAAACGCTTAAATTTGGTTCGAATTCCGTGAGTGGGATCGTAGATGCTTACTGCTGAGGAGTCCCATAATATAACAAAATGGTCGTCCAGTGCTTCCAGGTTTTTAATGATGGTCTAACATCAATCGATTTATGATCTCAATCAAAAGCCTAATAATATCCACAATGCCATACTGATAAATTTATATAACTTATTTCAAGATTTCCCTTATCAAAATACCAAAGCGGAGTAAAGTTACAAATTATTTAAACATAATTTCGATCCCCTTTAGTAACAAATAATTGGTAAACGGTATAGAGATTTGTGGAGATCGTTGAGTGATATTCATATATCGATACCCACTAAAAACACTGGAAAGCTATTTCGTTCTAATGAAGGATTCTTCATTTTTGAGCATCCTCTCTGTATTACGCGTAAATTAATAATCTCTAGACCATTATGTAGATTTTCAGTGGTTCGTATGTCTTACTTCAATTAACTCAAAATTCATTTTACATTATCTTCAGTTAGAATTATGTAGTTTAAAATACATATTTGAAATGAGATTAACCGGATTAGTGAACAAAAGAGAACCTGATATACGTGTCGCGTCAACTTATCATAACATACCAGTACAGCGAGATGAAATTATCGTAGCGAATGCAACTGTAGTACAAATAATAATGGTATCAGCAGCATTATAAAAATAGAAAATATGATTTAGAAACAAAGAATAAATCCGTGGAATGGGATGCATAAAACAAAAAGTGAATAAGCTTACGCTATTGACGCCAACTATGAGTTATATCAAAAATCGTCTCCAGTAAGCCGTTACAATAAACGGAAGGACTCCGACCACGTTGTATCCATCTGCGTACGCGTTTCAATTCACTAGACAGTAACCTGATGTACTAAAGCCATGTCTTTATTTGGTCAACTTAAGCTAATTCTATATCAGAAAATATTAGACGTCGAGGTAGGTGGTAGTTCAGGATGCGTCACACACGCTCTAATTACTTTAGTCTATGAGGATTCACTACCTGACCGGACGATGTGCTTTATTTACTTAGCACTCTTATTTTAACATTTGCATAGGTCAGGTTGAAAAGGGCTTCATGGAGATGGCTTCTGGAAACCAACTTCATCGTTAACTTGCTAATAAACTATTCAAGTATATAGTAATTTTCCAGTTTTGTCTTGAGTAAATTTCTTTTTGTAGAAAAAGATAAAGATGGTTTAGCAAACAAAGTAATTCCATGTTCATCAGTATCTATGACCTGGACTATAAGGTTTTCTCAATAGTTATTGTTGATGATAGATATCATTGTTAACTAGGCTAAATAGAGTACAATGGCTTCATTATTTTAGTGTTTAAAAATTTCACTTATTGAAATATTATGAGATTTGAAGGTCCTGGGTTCGATCCTCAGTGATGACGTGGACGTGCAATTCTGTTAAGTCACGTACTTGGAAAAAACAGCTATCCAGCACTTCGTGTTCTTCATTCATTGTTTAATCAAAGTTAATTCGTGATAAGAAACCTCAACTATGAAAAGAAGCTTATATGATGAATAAAAAATGGCAAGAATGGTTTGGATAATGACCGTTTAAGGTATTCAGAGTGCTACATTCATCAAAGTTAACACTTGAATTTTCAATATATAATATTATGTGTTAGCTTTCCAGTCATACTCCCTTTTTATCAACTAGTTTGAACAAGCAGATGACTGAGGGTAATAATTTTAGGTTGGACAACCTGAAACAGAATTGACGTGTAATAGAATTTATCCATGGACTGATCCACACTATTCCTTCAACGATAAAATACTAATGACTCGAAACGTGATTAGAAAGAGTCTATTTATCCTCTCAATGCAAGTCGTCCAATAAGAGTTAGTTAGCTATTAGGTAAAGGTTTAAATGACTTAAAACGATGGTTTATCATGAACACGATCAATCGGAGGTCAGCTCATGAAAGTAATATGGAACTAAGCGGAATAATGTGTTTCTTTCAAATGTATTGATTATTACGGTGAGGAAATATGAACAGTCAATAAAAATGATGATGTCATATGAAGATTATAATACTAGGTTATATTGTGTCAACCATAACAACAAATTCACTTGGTATTACTTGTTTGAATCTTCCCAGTCTCTTAAGAGACTGAACAGTTGCAGTCCTAGAACATCAATGGGAAGATTCAAACAAGTAATACTAAGTGAATTCAAACTTCACCCCATTGCCTAAGCAAGTGGCTATCAGGACTCAATAGCTGAGTGGATAACGCGATGGCATTTGAAGCGAAAAGTACTGAGTTCGAGATGTGAAGTGAACGTCAACTCTGAGATGTAGGTATATCCAGCTGATGAGTCCCAAATAGGACGAAAGGCGAGTCCTGGATTCCACTGCTAGCTACTAACCATCTTTGCATAACAACAAATGTGTAAAAAATACAAAAGACGTAAAATTAATAAGTTAATAGTAGATGATAGTGTAAAATGGATTAAGATAACTAAGATACATTTTTTCGTCAAAAACCTGTTTAATTCATAGCGTTGTTTTAATGATTATTGAATTGAAAGAAGAGACTGTTTGATATTGTTACATATTAAGAATTGAAAATGTCTTTTCAACAGTCTGATTGCTGAAGTAAGTTCATGTTATCCTCATGCTATCATCAAAAGTCTGTAATGTTAGAATTTACACAAATAATGAAATATATATGTAAGGACAGTTAAATGTCACTAGGCTCTAAGCAAATCATCTAGCAGTTATGTAATAATGTCATTCGTGTTGCACGGTAATCAAAGCAGCCATAGTACCTGGATACGACCAAAGGGTAATCCACATTAGTTACTAACTGTGAGGTGTGACTTCAACATTAACTGGTTGGACAAACAATTCTGTCTAATTTGAGTAGGCCACTAATCATTCGATGTAAATCATCTACGTTAGTGACCTGTTAAATATATATGGAAGATTATGAAAGCGTTGTATAACATCTTAATTCAAAATAAATTGATTCTAGTCTCATGATGAACATAGTCTGATCGACAATATGTTAGTTCAATAAAACTTCAGTTTATCACCTTCAAAATACCTCTCATCTACGGTAATGGCCTTGTTCAATTCCTTTGTGATTGTTTAGTTATTTTAACAAGTTCCCTTATATCAAGTTTCTTAAGTGCTTCACAGTTTTATACACTTAGTAACAAATAAGAATCATAGTGAGTTTGATATGATAAACGCTAAGGATACTGTGATATGGTGATAGAATTAATCTCAAAAATCTCATAGAAAATTGCTATTGAATATGCATATATATTTCTGTAATGCAATAATCATATCTTAGTTTCACATATTACTTGTTAAGCACCTGAAAGACCTTGAATAAGAAACATAAGTTTACCGTATCGTTTTCTTTAGAATACATTCACTGTGGGTATACATTAGATATTATTTATTTAATGGTTAAACTATACATATAAATATATATACTAAGCTTGGTCAAACAATCATATCTACACTAGATTCCGAGAAATATTGTTCGCATCTACTGGGATCATCGGGTAAGTAATATAAAGGTTAAATACAGGGTATTAAGAAATAATGGTGAAACAGTTGTGAAGCAGGTTGTAAATATTCATCCACTTAGATGGTTGGGTCACATGTTACGTATGCCTGAACACCGATTATCACGACGCGCAATGCTGACTAGTGTTGGAGACATTTGGAAGAATATTAGGGTCAGCCAAATAAAAACATGGCATAAGTCCTCAAAGTCACTAACTGTAGTCTTACCCATGTTGGTAGATGTAAACTACCTGGTTGAGGTGCATGAGTCTATCGTAACCAAAAGTTGGATATTATATGTGACATGGCTCAGAATTGATCACAATAGCGTAGGTGTATACACTATTTGTCTCTTCTTAAACTATGAGCTCAAAAATTACTTCTTGTTTTATATCCTTCTATGCGATCTTCCTTTTATATATTACATCTATTGAAGTAACTATTTCTATGAATATCGTGTTCATATTGTTGTACTAACAAAGTGTGCCAACTTGAAAAGATGTATATATGTTCCTGATCCTATAATGTAGCTCAATGACTAACTAGATTATAGTAACTATGCAAAAAGTATCATCAATAGTATTTCCAGTTAATAAAAAACTAATTAACAAAAAATTAACTTTTTTTAAAAATAATAGTTAAACTTTATTTAAAAGTTGAAATCATGAGTCAATTGAAGCTAGACCACCATCGAAAACCTGGATACACTGGACGGCCGTTTCGTCCCATTATGGGATTCCTCAGCAGTGCGCATCCACGAACCCGCTCTCGCGAGCGAGATTCGAACCCAGGACCTACCAGTTACCAGCCAGAGCTCTTTACCGATAGACCACTGAGCTGGCATCCAACGGTGTTAATGTCTAACTTCAACTGAAATATACTGAAATCTCCACAAATTCCCTTCTGAGTTAAACTTTATTAATGTACTTTTGAAAATAAAACAAAAAGCAAAACATTACTGATCATTAAATAGTAAAACTTACCTGATTTACAATCTTTCAATCCACTTGCACCACAACCCATATTTGATAATGTAAAAGAATTAACTTGTACTTGTACGTGTGTGTGTTTGTGTGTGTATAGATGGGGTATGGGTATGTTTATGTGTAATATGAGGTTCAATGTTTAAAATAAAAGAATCAATAAATGAATTTTTCAAAAGATCAATATTCAATGTACAATTTGATCTCTTTTTTTGTTTTAATAGTTCTTTTAATTAAATCTTTAATTAAGTAATCATTATATATATATATATATATATATATATTACCTTAAACTAACTAGAAAACTTTTTCTTGATTCATGTGTGTTTATATTAGTTGTTTTGTTTGTTTTAAATGAATAACATGTCATGGATAAACAAGATCTTTTGTTAAGGTCATTTGAATATTTATATATCTATATCTATACCTATACCTTTACCTATACCTATACTATTTATACCTATAAACCTATACCTATATATATATATATATATATATATATATATATATATATATATATATATATATATGTTTATGTAGCCTTGACAATGGACCCAATTACATAAGGCCCAACTACATTATTTATTAAACATTGTTCATTTGTTTGTTTGTTCATTATGTTCTGGTCAATGTTTTGGTAATTTGAATAATAACAATAGTAATAATGGTAATAATATCCAATGTTTCTGTTAGATATGAAATAGTATTTTCTCTTTCTTCATTTTCTATACATTTCATGTTAATTATTCATATCCTTAGATAAAGGTAAGTGTATGTGTGTGTGTGTGTACGTGTGTGTATGTGTGTGTCTATGTCTATGTGTTAATTGTTGCTCCTGGTAACACAGATGTATTGTTGTTTTAATTTTGAATGATTATGAAATAATTGAAAATTGAATCGAATATATTAATATTAAAAAAAAAAGAAATAGGATAACATCAAACATAGAGATTATTAATTATTTAAATAAAGATATTTAGAATTAATTACTTTATCTTAAATAATAAATCATTTTGTTAAATATAGTTGAAATCATGAGACAATTGAAGCTAGACCATCAAGGAAAACCTGGAAGTATTGAATGGCCGTTTCGTCCTATTGTCGGACTCCTCAGAAGTGTGCATCATGATTTCAACTATGAATATACTGAAATCTTCACAAAATCTCTTCTGATAATGATTATATGCTCATTAGTGACTGGCTCCATAAGATATTTCTTGGAGTTCTAGTGGGAAGCACTGACTAGCAGAGTTCATCCAGGTCTGTTGTAAAGATATCAACTCACTGAAGACAATTGGTGAACGGTCGCTCAAAATCGTGGATTGGTTGAAGTTAGACATTAACACCGTTTGATGTCGGCCAGCTAAGTAGTCTATCGGTTAAGTGTTCCGACTTGAGACTGGTAGGTCCTAGGTTCAAATCTCGCGAGGCGGGATCGTGGATACGGACTGCAGAGGAGTCTCATTACAGGACGAAATGGCCGTCTAGTGCATCCACGTTTTGCTTGGTAGTCCAGCTTCAATGAACTCATGACTTCAACTATATAAAATCTTTTATAATTTGTGGATACTTTTGTTCCTACTTTGACTTTAATCAACACTATTAAAATGTGAAACTGTTTAACAATGATAGCATATGGATTATTTTAAATTAGAAATCTGAAGATTATAAATTCTATTAGAGCTACAGTGGGGACAGCATGGTGGAGTAAACTATCTAGAACTTATTTGAAGCTTGAACCCAAAGATATCTTCCCGATAGGGAGAATAATCACACTTCGTTTGAAAGAAAGTGGAACTGTAGATCGGAGTTTAAGAACATTGAACGTCAATTTACAAGTGCGTCGATAATATATCCAAAAATATTTCGACTGTTTGGCATGTTTGGCCAGCTACTGTTGTTTTATAAACATTTGCTGGTATCACTCACTAACTGAATGTCAAAAGAAAACATTTGACTAGACATATGAACTAATTACAACCTAGAGAGCAGATATCGATCAAAAACCTGTTAAAGTACAACCTAAGATTGGTTGCCATATTGGTAGAATTATTCAAGAACAACCAGATCGAAACAATAGGAGTGACAATCGAACACTAAGGAGAACATAAGAGAAATACTGTATACCATAATGCTTCCAGCTGAAACCTCAAAGTCAGACTTAATTTGAGAAAATGAAACTGATACGCGCGGTCAGTCCTACGTAAACTGAACAATAAAGTTTCTTTTTCTAAAAGATGGGACACGTGTGATTGGTTGAAAATTTGACTTTACCGTTATTATTACTATTATTAGGTTTATGTAATATTATATTGTTGGTACATTATAGAATTCTCAGCATAAAGTATTTCAGCGAGTTTCCGTTTTTTGTTTCTTAATCGATATTGACAATAAATATTGAGTGATCACCAGTTAGATATTATCATTTTAGAAGTCGACATATGAATAATATTCATTCTTTTCAATGCACATTGCTAACCATCATGATCTCTCCAATTGCAAACTTTTGTAATTTGTACAGCGAAGGGTCGTAAACTTTTCAGAAACGCACAAGAATAAGTTGCACAATTAATTAACATAATGATCTGTTAAATCAAACAAGAAAACAGGTAACGTGTTGAAATACCTAGGTGGCAGGAACAGATAGTCCAGATATTTATAAAGGTCGCCTTTATGAATGTGTATACACGAACGAATGTACATATATTTCTTGATTACAGTCTTGGCAATAAATTTTACTTCTCATTCAAGATTTTCTCACTGAAGTAGTTGGTTGAGCTGGGGAATATTAAACTTATAAATCAATATCATAATTGGATGTAATAGACACCTTTTTTCGACTTCTTATTTCAAAGAAGTTTGATGAAACTTTGTTTTCATAGTGAAGTAAAAAAGATTTTAATTATTGAAAATGAAAAATGTAAATCATTTTTACCACTACAGATAATGAATTAGATAGCTCTGAATTTAGGATAATTTTGATTAGAAAAGCCAACTGAAAAGTCACTGTTAATCAGTTTTGTTCTAGTTTGAGAATATTCAAACATGAGTACTCATGACATCAGGCATGAATGAATCTTGAATCACTGATGAATTTCTCAAATTACTAATTAAAACACTTAATCTATGAAATAAAGAATATCATGAATTAGATATCAATACAATAATATTATTAAATTCATTTAGTATTGTTTGTTTGAATATTCCCATTGATGTTCAGGACTGCAACTGGTCAGTCTCTTATTAGCCAAATGTGCATACTGTGCGTATTGCCTCGATATTGCCTTAATTCACATACATTATAAGCAAAGATAGCTAGTGGCTAGTAGTGGAATCCAGTTTGACTCGCGTTTCGTCCTATTTGGGACTCGTTAGATGGATACACCTGCATCTCAGAGTTGATCTTCACTCTGGGACTCGAACCTAGTACCGTTCACTTGAAACGCCATCGCATTATCCACTCAGCTACTGACTCCTGATAGCCACTTGATTGTACAATGGGTTGAAGTTTTAAATTCAATTGGTATTGTTTGTTTTATTTTAAACTATTTTGAACTTTTTTGACCTCCAGGAGACGTAAAGTACATTGTTAGGCGCTTAGATAGAAATTAAATTTAGATTACTTCTAGTCAAACGTAAAAAAATTATAAGATAGGAAAACGTGACCCTTGTATTCCAATTTCTCCGCTCTAATGTTTTAGTTTGGATGCTATTGTATTTTCTCATTTCTCTATGTCAGTCGCATACATTAATTCATATGCCTTTTCGAGTTGATCGAGGCAAGAATTAGTCAGATAATCAGTCCCAGGTAAATCATTTTCTCTCTTCGTTTCCCAGTCAATCACGTCACTGATCAGAAGCAGGATAGTCTTTTTCATTTTTCTCTCGAAGCCATTCAGTCAATAATCAGATTCATACGTTGCAAATCTCAAGGTTGTGCCAAGTAACATATCACATCAAGTCTATAAACTAGATAAAGACAACTTTTGTCTTTTCCTATTCAGCACAGACTAGTGGTTAGACAAATCATGGAAGCAAAACTGTCAAAGAATAGAAACCAGTTTAAGCTGTTGTAGTGATTCAGCATAGCGGGAAGAAAAACCTATCAGTATGAATACCAAAGTATTCTAAGAAAAAATAATTAACAAACGAGTTCGGCTTAGAAAAAATGAACGAATTAGTAAGATAAAAAACGTGGAATAGTATTTTAACCCAAAGTCTTCTTGCAGGTAAAGAAGCAATACTTCTATCACTGTGACCATTTGTGAATCAAGTTACCAAGATTGTTGTGTGGGCACCAAATATGGAATGTGTAAATATAAGGCTATATCAAACTAATAATCATTCAACGCAATGATTCTATAATTTGATTTGACTATCCTTAACATTCCTCTATCCTTACACCAACCAACATTGTGTGCTATTAATCTGCAGTGGTTATGAATACGTGACTTTTATGTCAGCCACCTCTGACCATGAACATTCACAGATTCGTTATCCCATTTGTGAGCTTCCTCTAATTCCCTACATTGTATTTTATCATTATTCAGTCAGTTATCTTTCACAAACATATAGAATCGAATACTAATACCTTCAAAAGTCACAGTTCATAAAAAAGTAGACTCCTATCCTCCACACTGTTAAAACAAATATCCGAGCCTAAATTATATGTAACTCATGTTAACAAAATCTAGATGACTATTTCAAACAAAATCAAACAAATCATCTATGGAACTAGACAGTAATCTATAAATTAATGAAAATTGAGTGAACTTTTTTCATTATGTGATAGAAAGGACACACATTGAGGAAAGCAAACAACTATGTCGCAAGACAAGCCCTCAGATAGAATACTGAAGGTCAAAGGAAAATAGGAAGACCAAAGAACACATCACGCCGAGAAATAGAGACAGACATGAGTATAATGAACAAAAGTTGAATAGAATTAGAAAGGAAGGCCCAGGACAGAGTGAGTAGGAAAATACTGGTCGGCGGCCTATGCTCCATTGGGAGTAACAGGCGTAATTAAGTAAGTAAGTA